GCGCGCGTGCAGCCATCGAAAGGGAGGAAGCGACTCTAAAAGTCTTCAGCACTCCACCACTCGAAGGATTCAACACCTCCACCACATCGAAGGATCTCAAACACACCACCCAATGGATCTCAATACCACCACACTCGAAGGATCTCAACACCACCACCCACCTCGAAGGATTCAACACACCACACTCGAAGGATCTCAACACCTATCACCGCCTCAAAGGATCTAACAACTCCACTGTCATCGAAGCAGCTGCATCTCTCACCCAGTAGCAGAACCAGCAGCACGGACCACCACCACCACAACATCTTCATCCCCAGCCTGCTCCAAAGCAGCCACGCCTTTTTTCTACAGCGCTCTGAAGCCCATCCTCACCCCAGGTTTACTGCAGACAGGCTGTGCTGGGGTTCTAACACCTGCCCTACCAGATCAAAGACTCTCGCCACCTCCATGGACCTGTCGGGGGTCCCTGCCACGTCCACTCCATCAAGAGAGGAATTGGGATCCGTCCCTTTGGTTTTCAGCCCCGCCTTCACTGTTAGACTTTTTACCTCTATCACTCTGCAGGCTAATAAAATCGGCGATGAAGAATATTCTCTTCACAACCCATATTAGATAGATTAGAGTCCTGGTCAACCTGTTAAACCACTCCCATATGTACTCAAAACCACCTGGAGTTTCCAATTCACCTTCAAAAACCACCTCAGCCAGTCCCTCCCCTGACCTCATGACATTCCACCCCACTTCCCCCTCGGTCAACACCAAACTCTGCTCAGCCACCCGGCCTAACATACCAAAAACCCTCCACCTCCCTGACCCCCTCGTTCAACACCAAAAGCCACCCAACCTCTCCATCCTCCTCCACGCCTTCACCTTCCCATCTTTTTCTAAACACTAGGATGCACTGGGTCTCGCTTCGCAGCCAATGGCTGGTCTAGTTAGAGGAGAGACCCGGCTGGGGCCCTGTCATGAAGCCACCTGTCCATTCCCTTAGTGATAACACAAAGAATACATTTATCAGAAAGATCTGGGAGTTAATAAGTCTATTCTGGAACATCTAATTCTTGGTTCCGTGTAAGAATCGCCGACACAACGCTGTTTACTGAAACTTTGAAACTTGCTCCGCTTAATGTCAGATCTTTTGTAACAAGTCTTTTTTAATCAATAATTTTATTTTGTTCTCCATAATCTTGCTCTTTTGTTCATGGCTGAAACTGGCTTGACCCAAAATTCAGGAAATGCTGTTTTAATAGGACGCATCACCACCAAATTTCAAGTTTGAATCTGAAATTCGGTGAAAACAGAAAGGAGAGCTTAGCTGCTTTTTCAGCGACACTTTGTCTCCCATAGAATTGTCCTGGTAGTTTTGTCTTTTGAATATGTGTCTTTTAAAATACAACAAAAAACAATCTCCTCAATACTTTTCGTTGTACTATACAAGCCACCGCAGTATGTCACAGTTTACTTGAAATTTACGTGTGGCTTTCAGTTGTATGCACAGATTTTGATTGTTTGTTTTTTCAGGTGATTTTAATATTCATGTGGAACTGTTGATGACAGACATGCAAATGATGCTGAGTTCTGTATTGAATCCTTTGATCCACTCGCACGTTATAGTGGGCCCACACAGGCAGAGGCACACTCGAGTTCTTGTTAGTACTAAGGGGGTGATATTTCAAATGTAAACGTGGGTCTGATGTTGCTCTTTCGGATCATTTTCTGTGTTTTTTTAGACATGGGGTTCACTAACAATTCACCAGTGGACTCTCGCAACTGTACGAAGAAGACACATAATGAAATTACGAGGGAATATTTATGGGAATGATAAACTTTGAGAATGCATCGGTATTCTACTGTAGATGAACTGTTTTACTCTGTCACCTCTAGTGTTTTGAATGTTCTGGATAACCGTTGCCCCTGTGAAGGTTTAAATAGTGAAAATAAGCAGAAGGCGCGTGGGCCTATAGCAGGAACTCGGTCAGGGCTCAAAAGAGAAAGTGCGGGAGGGCGAGCGGAAGTGGGGCATAGTCATATCCTCCAGGTTGATTACGAGGATCTTTAGTTACGTTGTGCGAGTTTAACCGGGTGCGACGTAGTCGGAGAAAAGGTATTTTCTGAAATGATTGAAGGCTGCAGCAACATCTGCGTGTTCTGTTTTCAACAGGTAATGATTAAACAAACCCCATGTTCAAATGCCATTAGAGTTACTTCATCGTAAATGCAATGGGTTGCTAATTTTTTCAATGACAAGGTTCAGGCATCAAAAACGCCCTTGTCTCCAATCCACAGATAACCTTCAACTGCCAGAAGGCTCTCTGAGCTAACTCACTTTGCACTGTAAATGATAAAACTGTCCAAGAGATAATCTCCAGTTTGAGCTCCTCCACATGCAGTAGGATGTATATCCTTTGATTTCTGAGAGTCTGTTCTGAGTTCGTCTGTACTTCACTTAACAGATAGTAAACATGTCCCTTCATTCTGCGAAATATTCCAAAGGCCCTGAAAACTGCAGTCATCAGGCCCCTGCTAAAAAAGAGCAGTCTCCGATGCTACGGTAACTTAACAACTATCGTCCATCTCAACTGCCATGTTGTCTAGCGGGGAAAGTCCTTGAAAAAGTGTCTACATACAGCTTACTAGATTTCTTATGATCACACTCATTTGATATGTTTTCAGTCGGCTATTGACCCCACCACAGCATTGAGACTGCTCTCGTCAAGTTTACAAACGATAATCGGCTGAACACTGACGACAGGCGAAGTCTCAATCTTAATTTGTTGATCTAGTTCTGCCTTGCACGTCGACATGAGACCTCCTACAGAGATTAGAAGGACTGGGTGAGTGCTTGGCTCCGGCACTAAGTGGATTAGGTCTTACTTGGGACAGGAAGTACTTTGTGGAGATTGGAAACTGTGTTCAGATCATATGGCCCTGACCTGTGGAGTCACAGGGGGTCGATCTGGACCTCTTCTGATCAATCTCTACATGCTGCCGTTAGGTCAGTTAATACGCAGAAACAAGTTTCTAATCTATCTATGCAGACGACACTCAGTTTTTGTCTCACTGATGCAGTGAGAAATGGACCAGTGACTCACTCCTTCACTGTATCCAATGATCAGTGAGTGGATGCAAAACAACTTTCCTTCAGCTAATCGCAGACAAAACTTGAATGATTGTCTTTGGTCCCCAGGGAAAAAAGATGAGAGGTCATCTGTTCCTACAGTCTCTTCCCTAAAACCTTCATTCAAGGTCATGTAATCTTAGGGGTAATACTGAGGACTCAGACTTACATTTTAATAGCACACATCAAATCAGGACATCTGCAGATTTTTACCATTTAAAAACATTGCCAGGATCAAAAACATAGTGTCTAAAGCAGACTTGGAGATCTTATCATGCATTTGTCTCCAGTTAGGTTAGGACTGATGCAATGGACTGCTCTCAGGTCTGTCCAAACAGGCTGTAAACAGCTGCAGTACATTCAAAATGCAGCAGCTCGAGTCCTGACTAGAACAGAGATGTACGACCATTATTAGTCCGGTCATCAGGTCCTTGCACTGGCTTCCTGTGGTCAGAGTATAGACTTTAAAACAGCTTGCTTGGGTACAAGTATCTCCATGGCCTCGCACCACAAGATATAGGAAAATGTTAGTCCCATTGAACGCCGGACTTGAGGAGCACAGGGATGGCTCCTGTTAGTGCCCAGAGGTCAGAACTAAACATGGGGAGGCTGCTTTTCAGATTCATGCTGCTAAATCGAACAGTCTTCCTGGAGATGTGAGACAGGCTCCTCTCTGACATGTTAAAACAGGTTAAAGACAGTTCTGTTTAGCTGTGCATACAAACTGAGGGATTTTATATTTGTATCTTTCTTGTTTAATGTTCTGTGATTATTTATCGATTTTATGCTTTCTTGTTGTTCAGCACATTGAATTGATGGTGTTGAATTGTGCTATATAAATAAACTTGCCTTGCCTTGCCTTGCCTTGCCTTGCCTTATGTATTTTGGTGCTAAGCCATGGAGGAGACTTGTAACAAGCAGAGCTGTTTTATAATCTATTTCTGAGCCACAGGAAGCCAGTGCAGAGACTGAGGATCGGACTAATATGGTATTCTTCCCAGGTTCCTGTCAGGACTTAGCTTGCTGCATTTTTGGATGTACTGCTGTCTGCATTACAGGTCTGTATGGACAGCCTGTAAGCAGGCCCATTGCAGTAGTCTGCCTGTGGAGACAAATGCATGGACATGAATCTCCAAGTCTGCTTAAGACACTATATTTCTAACTTTGGAAATGTTCTTCAGATGGTAAATGCTGTGATGTTATTGATTTTATGTGGCTATTGATATTTAGGTCTGAGTCCAGTTTTCCCCCAAATTTCTGACTTGTCTGAATAGGATATTTAAAGACGTATAAAAGTGATGTTTTGCCGACGCCTGATTCAGTCGAGTTTTAAAACTTCTCTTTTTATGTTTTATGTTCTGTCCAAAATGGTAATTACCAGGAACAATAACTGCGCCGAGAGCGACTTCACCTGTGACCGTTTTAAACACAATCTTTGTCCATGTGCTAATTTTCCCTGCGGCCCACGCTTTTCCCATTAGCTTCATTTCCCGGACGCGGCCCGTGCATTGAGACGCTGGATTTGAATACAGGCTGAAGTTGCAGTTCGCTGGTGGCAGATACGGACCTTAATTAAACTCTGCACATTTCTCTGGGAGAGCGTTTTATGATGGAAACATGTCGTGAGTTATTCATGAGAATCAGCCGTATCTGTGCGGGCGCAGGCGGTGCGGCTGCAGCGGCGTGCTGGCTGCAGGACAGAGCGCCTGAAAGTGCCAGAGCATATGTCCACGGATCTGGAGAATACAAATCATTTAAACATTTCACTTTCCCCTGTCTCTGTTGGGACAAACAAAATGGACAAATTATGAACAGATAATGTTTGTTTTTCTCCAGTGTAGAAACATAGATTGGGATCTGAACCCAACATGACGTGGACAAAATGAGGGCGTCCCAATCACACTTCAGGGTCAGTGTCAGTTCAATTTATTTGTGCATCTTCCTGAATCGTCTCAGAGGATTCACCTAAAGGGGGCGCATGCCAGAACTATTGTACATGTGTATAGGGTTAGAGGAAACCGGAGCAACAGGAGGAAACCTGTACAGACAGCTTTGTAAAGTCCTCTGAGATATCACTGTTGTGATTTAGGGCAATACAGAAATGTATTGAATTGAAATTGAATTATCTTCTCCTCTCTTCAGACTCTCTCCTCTTCAGACTCTCCTCTTCAGACTCTCCTCTTCAGACTCTCTCCTCTTCAGACTCTCCTCCTCAGACTCTCTCCTATTCAGACTCTCTCCTCTTCAGACTCTCTCCTCTTCAGACTCTCTCCTCCTCAGACTCTCTCCTATTCAGACTCTCTCCTCTTCAGACTCTCTCCTCTTCAGACTCTCTCCTCTTCAAACTCTCCTCTTCAGACTATCTCCTCTTCAGACTCTCTCCTTTTCACACTCTCTCCTCTTCAGACTCTCCTCTTCAGATTCTCTCTCCTCTTCAGACTCTCTCCTCTTCAGACTCTCGTCTCTTCAGACTCTCTCCTCTTCAGACTCTCTCCTCTTCAGACTCTCCTCTTTAGACTCTCTCCTCTTCAGACTCTCTCCTCTTCAGACTCTCTCTTCTCTTCAGACTCTCCTCTTTAGACTCTCTCTCCTCTTCAGACTCTCTCCTCCTCAGACTCTCTCCTATTCAGACTCTCTCCTCTTCAGACTCTCTCCTTTTCAGACTCTCTCCTCTTCAGACTCTCCTCTTCAGACTCTCTCCTCTTCAGACTCTCTCTTCTCTTCAGACTCTCCTCTTTAGACTCTCTCTCCTCTTCAGACTCTCTCCTCCTCAGACTCTCTCCTATTCACACTCTCTCCTCTTCAGACTCTCTCCTCTTCAGACTCTCCTCTTCAGACTCTCTCTCCTCTTCAGACTCTCTCCTCCTCAGACTCTCTCCTATTCAGACTCTCTCCTCTTCAGACTCTCTCCTTTTCAGACTCTCTCCTCTTCAGACTCTCCTCTTCAGACTCTCTCCTCTTCAGACTCTCTCTTCTCTTCAGACTCTCCTCTTTAGACTCTCTCTCCTCTTCAGACTCTCTCCTCCTCAGACTCTCTCCTATTCACACTCTCTCCTCTTCAGACTCTCTCCTCTTCAGACTCTCCTCTTCAGACTCTCCTCTTCAGACTCTCTCCTCTTCAGACTCTCTCCTCTTCAGACTCTCTCCTCTTTAGACTCTCTCTCCTCTTCAGACTCTCTCCTCTTCAGACTCTCCTCTTCAGACTCTCTCCTCTTCAAACTCTCCTCTTCAGACTCTCTCCTCTTCAGACTCTCCTCTTCAGACTCTCTCCTCTTCAAACTCTCCTCTTCAGACTCTCTCCTCTTCAGACTCTCTCTTCAGACTCTCCTCTTCAGACTCTCTCTCCTCTTCAGACTCTCTCCTCTTCAGACTCCCCTCTTCAGACTCCCCTCTTCAGACTCTCTCCTCTTCAGACTCTCTCCTCTTCAGACTCTCTCCTCTTCAGACTCTCTCCTCTTTAAACTCTCCTCTTCAGACTCTCTCCTCTTCAGACTCTCACCTTTTTAGACTCTCTCCTCTTCAGACTCTCTCCTCTTCAGACTCTCTCCTCTTCAGACTCCCCTCTTCAGACTCTCTCTTCAGACTCTCCTCTTCAGACTCTCTCTTCTCTTCAGACTCTCTCCTCTTCAGACTCTCTCTTCTCTTTAGACTCTCCTCTTCAGAGTCTCTCTCCTCTTCAGACCCTCTCCTCTTCAGACTCTCTCCTCTTCAGACTCTCTCCTTTTCAGACTCTCTCCTCTTCAGACACTCTCCTCTGCAGACTCTCTCCTCTTCAGACTCTCTACTTTTCAGACTCTCCTCTTCAGACTCTCTCCTCTTCAGACTCTCTACTTTTCAGACTCTCCACTTCAGACTTTCTTCTCTTCAGACTCTCTCTTCTCTTCAGACTCTCTCTTCTCTTCAGACTCTCTCCTCTTCATTCTCTCTCCTTTTCAGACTCTCTCCTTTTCAGACTCTCTCCTCTTCAGACTCTCTCCTCAGACTCTCCTCTTCAGACTCTCTCCTCTTCAGACTCTCTACTTTTCAGACTCTCTCCTCAGACTCTCCTCTTCAGACTCTCTCCTCTTCAGACTCTCTCTTCTCTCTCAGACTCTCCACTTCAGACTTTCTTCTCTTCAGACTCTCTCTTCTCTTCAGACTCTCTCCTCTTCATTCTCTCTCCTTTTCAGACTCTCTCCTTTTCAGACTCTCTCCTCTTCAGACTCTCTCCTCAGACTCTCCTCTTCAGACTCTCTCCTCTTCAGACTCTCTACTTTTCAGACTCTCTCCTCAGACTCTCCTCTTCAGACTCTCTCCTCTTCAGACTCTCGTATCTTCAGACTCTCTCCTCTTCAGACTCTCTCTTCTCTTCAGACTCTCCTCTCTAGACTCTCTCTCCTCTTCAGACTCTCTCCTCCTCAGACTCTCTCCTATTCAGACTCTCTCCTCTTCAGACTCTCCTTTTCAGACTCTATCCTCTTCAGACTCTCTCCTCTTCAGACTCTCCTCTTCAGACTCTCTCCTCTTCAAACTCTCCTCTTCAGACTCTCTCCTCTTCAGACTCTCTCCTCTTCAGACTATCTCCTCTTCAGACTCTCTCTTCAGACTCTCCTCTTCAGACTCTCTCTTCTCTTCAGACTCTCTCCTCTTCAGTCTCTCTCCTCTTCAGACTCTCTCTTCTCTTTAGACTCTCCTCTTCAGAGTCTCTCTCCTCTTCAGACCCTCTCCTCTTCAGACTCTCTCCTTTTCAGACTCTCTCCTCTTCAGACACTCTCCTCTTCAAACTCTCCTCTTCAGACTCTCTCCTCTTCAGACTCTCTACTTTTCAGACTCTCCACTTCAGACTTTCTTCTCTTCAGACTCTCTCCTCTTCAGACTCTCTCTTCTCTTCAGACTCTCTCTTCTTCAGACTCTCTCCTCTTCATTCTCTCTCCTCTTCAGACTCTCTCCTTTTCAGACTCTCTCCTCTTCAGACTCTCTCCTCTTCAGACTCTCTCCTCAGACTCTCCTCTTCAGACTCTCTCTTCTCTTCAGACTCTCTCCTCTTCAGACTCTCTCTCCTCTTCAGACTCTCTCCTCTTCAGAATATCTCCTCTTCAGACTCTCTCCTCTTCAGACTCTCTCCTCTTCAGACTCTCCTCTTCAGACTCTCTCCTCTTCAGACTCTCTCTCCTCTTCAGACTCTCTCCTCTTCAGACTCTCCTCTTCAGACTCTCTCCTCTTCAAACTCTCCTCTTCAAACTCTCCTCTTCAGACTCTCTCCTCTTCAGACTCTCTCTTCAGACTCTCCTCTTCAGACTCTCTCTCCTCTTCAGACTCTCTCCTCTTCAGACTCCCCTCTTCAGACTCCCCTCTTCAGACTCTCTCCTCTTCAGACTCTCTCCTCTTCAGACTCTCCTCTTCAGACTCTCTCCTCTTTAAACTCTCCTCTTCAGACTCTCTCCTCTTCAGACTCTCTCCTCTTCAGACTCTCACCTTTTTAGACTCTCTCCTCTTCAGACTCTCTCCTCTTCAGACTCCCCTCTTCAGACTCTCTCTTCAGACTCTCCTCTTTAGACTCTCTCCTCTTCAGACTCTCTCCTCTTCAGAGTCTCTCTCCTCTTCAGACCCTCTCCTCTTCAGACTCTCTCCTCTTCAGACTCTCTCCTTTTCAGACTCTCTCCTCTTCAGACACTCTACTTTTCAGACTCTCCTCTTCAGACTCTCTCCTCTTCAGACTCTCTACTTTTCAGACTCTCCTCTTCAGACTCTCTCCTCTTCAGACTCTCTACTTTTCAGACTCTCCACTTCAGACTTTCTTCTCTTCAGACTCTCTCCTCTTCAGACTCTCTCTTCTCTTCAGACTCTCTCTTCTCTTCAGACTCTCTCCTCTTCATTCTCTCTCCTTTTCAGACTCTCTCCTTTTCAGACTCTCTCCTCTTCAGACTCTCTCCTCAGACTCTCCTCTTCAGACTCTCTCCTCTTCAGACTCTCTACTTTTCAGACTCTCTCCTCAGACTCTCCTCTTCAGACTCTCTCCTCTTCAGACTCTCGTCTCTTCAGACTCTCTCCTCTTCAGACTCTCTCTTCTCTTCAGACTCTTCTCTTTAGACTCTCTCCTCTTCAGACTCTCTCCTCTTCAGACTCTCTCCTCTTCAGACTCTCTCTTCTCTTCAGACTCTCCTCTCTAGACTCTCTCTCCTCTTCAGACTCTCTCCTCCTCAGACTCTCTCCTATTCAGACTCTCTCCTCTTCAGACTCTCCTTTTCAGACTCTATCCTCTTCAGACTCTCTCCTCTTCAGACTCTCCTCTTCAGACTCTCTCCTCTTCAAACTCTCCTCTTCAGACTCTCTCCTCTTCAGACTCTCTCCTCTTCAGACTCTCCTCTTCAGACTCTCTCCTCTTCAAACTCTCCTCTTCAGACTCTCTCCTCTTCAGACTCTCTCTTCAGACTCTCCTCTTCAGACTCTCTCTTCTCTTCAGACTCTCTCCTCTTCAGTCTCTCTCCTCTTCAGACTCTCTCTTCTCTTTAGACTCTCCTCTTCAGAGTCTCTCTCCTCTTCAGACCCTCTCCTCTTCAGACTCTCTCCTCTTCAGACTCTCTACTTTTCAGACTCTCCTCTTCAGACTTTCTCTCCTCAGACTCTCCACTTCAGACTTTCTTCTCTTTAGACTCTCTCCTCTTCAGACTCTCTCTTCTCTTCAGACTCTCTCTTCTTCAGACTCTCTCCTCTTCATTCTCTCTCCTCTTCAGACTCTCTTCTTTTTTCAGACTCTCTCCACTTCAGACTCTCTCCTCTTCAGACTCTCTCCTCAGACTCTCCTCTTCAGACTCTCTCCTCTTCAGACTCTCTCCTCAGACTCTCCTCTTCAGACTCTCTCTTCTCTTCAGACTCTCTCCTCTTCAGACTCTCTCTCCTCTTCAGACTCTCTGCTCTTCAGACTCTCTCCTCTTCAGACTCTCTCCTCTTCAGACTCTCTCCTCTTCATACTCCCCTCTTCAGACTCTCTCCTCTTCAGACTCTCTCCTCTTCAGACTCTCTCCTTTTCAGACTCTCTCCTCTTCAGACACTCTCCTCTTCAAACTATCCTCTTCAGACTCTCTCCTCTTCAGACTCTCTACTTTTCAGACTCTCCTCTTCAGACTTTCTCTCCTCAGACTCTCCACTTCAGACTTTCTTCTCTTCAGACTCTCTACTCTTCATTCTCTCTCCTCTTCAGACTCTCTCCTTTTCAGACTCTCTCCACTTCAGACTCTCTCCTCTTCAGACTCTCTCCTCAGACTCTCCTCTTCAGACTCTCTCCTCTTCAGACTCTCTCTTCTCTTCAGACTCTCTCCTCTTCAGACTCTCTCTTCTCTTTAGACTCTCCTCTTCAGAGTCTCTCTCCTCTTCAGACCCTCTCCTCTTCAGACTCTCTCCTTTTCAGACTCTCTCCTTTTCAGACTCTCTCCTCTTCAGACACTCTCCTCTTCAAACTCTCCTCTTCAGACTCTCTCCTCTTCAGACTCTCTACTTTTCAGACTCTCCACTTCAGACTTTCTTCTCTTCAGACTCTCTCCTCTTCAGACTCTCTCTTCTCTTCAGACTCTCTCTTCTTCAGACTCTCTCCTCTTCATTCTCTCTCCTCTTCAGACTCTCTCCTTTTCAGACTCTCTCCTCTTCAGACTCTCTCCTCTTCAGACTCTCTCCTCAGACTCTCCTCTTCAGACTCTCTCTTCTCTTCAGACTCTCTCCTCTTCAGACTCTCTCTCCTCTTCAGACTCTCTCCTCTTCAGAATATCTCCTCTTCAGACTCTCTCCTCTTCAGACTCTCTCCTCTTCAGACTCTCTCCTCTTCAGACTCTCCTCTTCAGACTCTCTCCTCTTCAGACTCTCTCCTCTTCAGACTCTCTCCTCTTTAGACTCTCTCTCCTCTTCAGACTCTCTCCTCTTCAGACTCTCCTCTTCAGACTCTCTCCTCTTAAAACTCTCCTCTTCAGACTCTCTCCTCTTCAGACTCTCCTCTTCAGACTCTCTCCTCTTCAAACTCTCCTCTTCAGACTCTCTCCTCTTCAGACTCTCTCTTCAGACTTTCCTCTTCAGACTCTCTCTCCTCTTCAGACTCTCTCCTCTCCAGACTCCCCTCTTCAGACTCCCCTCTTCAGACTCTCTCCTCTTCAGACTCTCTCCTCTTCAGACTCTCCTCTTCAGACTCTCTCCTCTTCAGACTCTCTCCTCTTTAAACTCTCCTCTTCAGACTCTCTCCTCTTCAGACTCTCACCTTTTTAGACTCTCTCCTCTTCAGACTCTCTCCTCTTCAGACTCTCTCCTCTTCAGACTCCCCTCTTCAGACTCTCTCTTCAGACTCTCCTCTTCAGACTCTCTCTTCTCTTCAGACTCTCTCCTCTTCAGACTCTCTCTTCTCTTTAGACTCTCCTCTTCAGAGTCTCTCTCCTCTTCAGACCCTCTCCTCTTCAGACTCTCTCCTCTTCAGACTCTCTCCTTTTCAGACTCTCTCCTCTTCAGACACTCTACTTTTCAGACTCTCCTCTTCAGACTCTCTCCTCTTCAGACTCTCTACTTTTCAGACTCTCCTCTTCAGACTCTCTCCTCTTCAGACTCTCTACTTTTCAGACTCTCCACTTCAGACTTTCTTCTCTTCAGACTCTCTCCTCTTCAGACTCTCTCTTCTCTTCAGACTCTCTCTTCTCTTCAGACTCTCTCCTCTTCATTCTCTCTCCTTTTCAGACTCTCTCCTTTTCAGACTCTCTCCTCTTCAGACTCTCTCCTCAGACTCTCCTCTTCAGACTCTCTCCTCTTCAGACTCTCTACTTTTCAGACTCTCTCCTCAGACTCTCCTCTTCAGACTCTCTCCTCTTCAGACTCTCGTCTCTTCAGACTCTCTCCTCTTCAGACTCTCTCTTCTCTTCAGACTCTTCTCTTTAGACTCTCTCCTCTTCAGACTCTCTCCTCTTCAGACTCTCTCCTCTTCAGACTCTCTCTTCTCTTCAGACTCTCCTCTCTAGACTCTCTCTCCTCTTCAGACTCTCTCCTCCTCAGACTCTCTCCTATTCAGACTCTCTCCTCTTCAGACTCTCCTTTTCAGACTCTATCCTCTTCAGACTCTCTCCTCTTCAGACTCTCCTCTTCAGACTCTCTCCTCTTCAAACTCTCCTCTTCAGACTCTCTCCTCTTCAGACTCTCTCCTCTTCAGACTCTCCTCTTCAGACTCTCTCCTCTTCAAACTCTCCTCTTCAGACTCTCTCCTCTTCAGACTCTCTCTTCAGACTCTCCTCTTCAGACTCTCTCTTCTCTTCAGACTCTCTCCTCTTCAGTCTCTCTCCTCTTCAGACTCTCTCTTCTCTTTAGACTCTCCTCTTCAGAGTCTCTCTCCTCTTCAGACCCTCTCCTCTTCAGACTCTCTCCTCTTCAGACTCTCTACTTTTCAGACTCTCCTCTTCAGACTTTCTCTCCTCAGACTCTCCACTTCAGACTTTCTTCTCTTTAGACTCTCTCCTCTTCAGACTCTCTCTTCTCTTCAGACTCTCTCTTCTTCAGACTCTCTCCTCTTCATTCTCTCTCCTCTTCAGACTCTCTTCTTTTCAGACTCTCTCCACTTCAGACTCTCTCCTCTTCAGACTCTCTCCTCAGACTCTCCTCTTCAGACTCTCTCCTCTTCAGACTCTCTCCTCAGACTCTCCTCTTCAGACTCTCTCTTCTCTTCAGACTCTCTCCTCTTCAGACTCTCTCTCCTCTTCAGACTCTCTGCTCTTCAGACTCTCTCCTCTTCAGACTCTCTCCTCTTCAGACTCTCTCCTCTTCATACTCCCCTCTTCAGACTCTCTCCTCTTCAGACTCTCTCCTCTTCAGACTCTCTCCTTTTCAGACTCTCTCCTCTTCAGACACTCTCCTCTTCAAACTATCCTCTTCAGACTCTCTCCTCTTCAGACTCTCTACTTTTCAGACTCTCCTCTTCAGACTTTCTCTCCTCAGACTCTCCACTTCAGACTTTCTTCTCTTCAGACTCTCTACTCTTCATTCTCTCTCCTCTTCAGACTCTCTCCTTTTCAGACTCTCTCCACTTCAGACTCTCTCCTCTTCAGACTCTCTCCTCAGACTCTCCTCTTCAGACTCTCTCCTCTTCAGACTCTCTCTTCTCTTCAGACTCTCTCCTCTTCAGACTCTCTCTTCTCTTTAGACTCTCCTCTTCAGAGTCTCTCTCCTCTTCAGACCCTCTCCTCTTCAGACTCTCTCCTTTTCAGACTCTCTCCTTTTCAGACTCTCTCCTCTTCAGACACTCTCCTCTTCAAACTCTCCTCTTCAGACTCTCTCCTCTTCAGACTCTCTACTTTTCAGACTCTCCACTTCAGACTTTCTTCTCTTCAGACTCTCTCCTCTTCAGACTCTCTCTTCTCTTCAGACTCTCTCTTCTTCAGACTCTCTCCTCTTCATTCTCTCTCCTCTTCAGACTCTCTCCTTTTCAGACTCTCTCCTCTTCAGACTCTCTCCTCTTCAGACTCTCTCCTCAGACTCTCCTCTTCAGACTCTCTCTTCTCTTCAGACTCTCTCCTCTTCAGACTCTCTCTCCTCTTCAGACTCTCTCCTCTTCAGAATATCTCCTCTTCAGACTCTCTCCTCTTCAGACTCTCTCCTCTTCAGACTCTCTCCTCTTCAGACTCTCCTCTTCAGACTCTCTCCTCTTCAGACTCTCTCCTCTTCAGACTCTCTCCTCTTTAGACTCTCTCTCCTCTTCAGACTCTCTCCTCTTCAGACTCTCCTCTTCAGACTCTCTCCTCTTAAAACTCTCCTCTTCAGACTCTCTCCTCTTCAGACTCTCCTCTTCAGACTCTCTCCTCTTCAAACTCTCCTCTTCAGACTCTCTCCTCTTCAGACTCTCTCTTCAGACTTTCCTCTTCAGACTCTCTCTCCTCTTCAGACTCTCTCCTCTCCAGACTCCCCTCTTCAGACTCCCCTCTTCAGACTCTCTCCTCTTCAGACTCTCTCCTCTTCAGACTCTCCTCTTCAGACTCTCTCCTCTTCAGACTCTCTCCTCTTTAAACTCTCCTCTTCAGACTCTCTCCTCTTCAGACTCTCACCTTTTTAGACTCTCTCCTCTTCAGACTCTCTCCTCTTCAGACTCTCTCCTCTTCAGACTCCCCTCTTCAGACTCTCTCTTCAGACTCTCCTCTTCAGACTCTCTCTTCTCTTCAGACTCTCTCCTCTTCAGACTCTCTCTTCTCTTTAGACTCTCCTCTTCAGAGTCTCTCTCCTCTTCAGACCCTCTCCTCTTCAGACTCTCTCCTCTTCAGACTCTCTCCTTTTCAGACTCTCTCCTCTTCAGACACTCTCCTCTGCAGACTCTCTCCTCTTCAGACTCTCTACTTTTCAGACTCTCCTCTTCAGACTCTCTCCTCTTCAGACTCTCTACTTTTCAGACTCTCCACTTCAGACTTTCTTCTCTTCAGACTCTCTCTTCTCTTCAGACTCTCTCTCCTCTTCATTCTCTCTCCTTTTCAGACTCTCTCCTTTTCAGACTCTCTCCTCTTCAGACTCTCTCCTCAGACTCTCCTCTTCAGACTCTCTCCTCTTCAGACTCTCTACTTTTCAGACTCTCTCCTCAGACTCTCCTCTTCAGACTCTCTCCTCTTCAGACTCTCTCTTCTCTCTCAGACTCTCCACTTCAGACTTTCTTCTCTTCAGACTCTCTCTTCTCTTCAGACTCTCTCTTCTCTTCAGACTCTCTCCTCTTCATTCTCTCTCCTTTTCAGACTCTCTCCTTTTCAGACTCTCTCCTCTTCAGACTCTCTCCTCAGACTCTCCTCTTCAGACTCTCTCCTCTTCAGACTCTCTACTTTTCAGACTCTCTCCTCAGACTCTCCTCTTCAGACTCTCTCCTCTTCAGACTCTCGTATCTTCAGACTCTCTCCTCTTCAGACTCTCTCTTCTCTTCAGACTCTCCTCTTTAGACTCTCTCCTCTTCAGACTCTCTCCTCTTCAGACTCTCTCTTCTCTTCAGACTCTCCTCTCTAGACTCTCTCTCCTCTTCAGACTCTCTCCTCCTCAGACTCTCTCCTATTCAGACTCTCTCCTCTTCAGACTCTCCTTTTCAGACTCTATCCTCTTCAGACTCTCTCCTCTTCAGACTCTCCTCTTCAGACTCTCTCCTCTTCAAACTCTCCTCTTCAGACTCTCTCCTCTTCAGACTCTCTCCTCTTCAGACTCTCCTCTTCAGACTCTCTCCTCTTCAAACTCTCCTCTTCAGACTCTCTCCTCTTCAGACTCTCTCTTCAGACTCTCCTCTTCAGACTCTCTCTTCTCTTCAGACTCTCTCCTCTTCAGTCTCTCTCCTCTTCAGACTCTCTCTTCTCTTTAGACTCTCCTCTTCAGAGTCTCTCTCCTCTTCAGACCCTCTCCTTTTCAGACTCTCTCCTCTTCAGACTCTCTCCTTTTTAGACTCTCTCCTCTTCAGACACTCTCCTCTTCAGACTCTCTCCTCTTCAGACTCTCTACTTTTCAGACTCTCCTCTTCAGACTTTCTCTCCTCAGACTCTCCACTTCAGACTTTCTTCTCTTTAGACTCTCTCCTCTTCAGACTCTCTCTTCTCTTCAGACTCTCTCTTCTTCAGACTCTCTCCTCTTCATTCTCTCTCCTCTTCAGACTCTCTTCTTTTCAGACTCTCTCCACTTCAGACTCTCTCCTCTTCAGACTCTCTCCTCAGACTCTCCTCTTCAGACTCTCTCCTCTTCAGACTCCTCTCCTCAGACTCTCCTCTTCAGACTCTCTCTTCTCTTCAGACTCTCTCCTCTTCAGACTCTCTCTCCTCTTCAGACTCTCTGCTCTTCAGACTCTCTCCTCTTCAGACTCTCTCCTCTTCAGACTCTCTCCTCTTCATACTCCCCTCTTCAGACTCTCTCCTCTTCAGACTCTCTCCTCTTCAGACTCTCTCCTTTTCAGACTCTCTCCTCTTCAGACACTCTCCTCTTCAAACTATCCTCTTCAGACTCTCTCCTCTTCAGACTCTCTACTTTTCAGACTCTCCTCTTCAGACTTTCTCTCCTCAGACTCTCCACTTCAGACTTTCTTCTCTTCAGACTCTCTACTCTTCATTCTCTCTCCTCTTCAGACTCTCTCCTTTTCAGACTCTCTCCACTTCAGACTCTCTCCTCTTCAGACTCTCTCCTCAGACTCTCCTCTTCAGACTCTCTCCTCTTCAGACTCTCTCTTCTCTTCAGACTCTCTCCTCTTCAGACTCTCGTCTCTTCAGACTCTCTCCTCTTCAGACTCTCTCCTCTTCAGACTCTCTCCTCTTCAGACTCTCTCCTCTTTAGACTCTCTCTCCTCTTCAGACTCTCTCCTCTTCAGACTCCCCTCTTCAGACTCTCTCCTCTTCAGACTCTCTCCTCTTCAGACTCTCCTCTTCAGACTCTCTCCTCTTCAGACTCCCCTCTTCAGACGCTCTCCTCTTCAGACTCTCTTGTCTCTTCAGACTCTCTCGTCTCTTCAGACTCTCTCGTCTCTTCAGACTCTCTCGTCTCTTCAGACTCTCTCGTCTTCAGGCTGACTGTTGTCCCGGGACACAGTGCATTCATGTGGGCAGTGAGTGACCTCTTTACCTGGGACGTCCAGAGCCTGGGGGTGAGTGCAGGGCAGATGTCTTCACCTCTGGGCTCTTCACATCTGCAGAGAGGAGAACAGCTCTGGGGATTAGGGCAAACACACACATACACACACGCACACACACACACGCAGACACACACACACACATAGACATGCACGCACAGACGCACACACACACACAGACACACATGCACACCTGCAACAAAGACCGGTCAGGATATACAGTGCCTTGCGAAAGTATTCGGCCCCCTTGAACCTTTCAATATTTCACCACATTTCAGGCTTCAAACATAAAGATATAAAAAATATTTTTTTGTCAAGAATCAACAACAAGTGGGACACAATCGTGAAGTGGAACAACATTTATTGGATAATTTAAACTTTTTTAACAAATAAAAAACTGAAAAGTGGGGCGTGCAATATTATTCGGCCCCCTTGCGCTAATACTTTGTAGCGCCACCTTTTGCTGCAATTACAGCTGCAAGTCGCTTGGAGTATGTCTCTATCAGTTTTGCACATCGAGAGACTGGAATTCTTGCCCATTCTTCCTTGCAAAACAGCTCGAGCTCAGTGAGGTTGGATGGAGAGCGTTTGTGAACAGCAGTCTTCAGCTCTTTCCACAGATTCTTGATTGGATTCAGGTCTGGACTTTGACTTGGCCATTCTAACACCTGGATACGTCTATTTGTGAACCATTCCATTGTAGATTTGGCTTTATGTTTTGGATCATTGTCCTGTTGGAAGATAAATCTCCGTCCCAGTCTCAGGTCTTTTGCAGACTCCAACAGGTTTTCTTCCAGAATGGTCCTGTCTTTGGCTCCATCCATCTTCCCATCAATTTTAGCCATCTTCCCTGTCCCTGCTGAAGAAAAGCAGGCCCAAAGCATGATGCTGCCACCACCATGTTTGACAGTGGCGATGGTGTGTTCAGGATGATGAGCTGTGTTGCTTTTACGCCAAACATATCGTTTTGCATTGTGGCCAAAAAGTTCGATTTTGGTTTCATCTGACCAGAGCACCTTCTTCCACATGTTTGGTGTGTCTCCCAGGTGGCTTGTGGCAAACTTTAAACGAGACTTTTTATGGATATCTTTGAGAAATGGCTTTCTTCTTGCCACTCTTCCATAAAGGCCAGATTTGTGCAGTGCACGACTGATTGTTGTCCTATGGACAGACTCTCCCACCTCAGCTGTAGTTATCTGCAGTTCATCCAGAGTGATCATGGGCCTCTTGGCTGCATCTCTGATCAGTCTTCTCCTTGTTTGAGATGAAAGTTTGGAGGGACGGCCAGGTCTTGGTAGATTTGCAGTGGTCTGATATTCCTTCCATTTCAATATAATTGCTTGCACAGTGCTCCTTGAGATGTTTAAAGCTTGGGAAATCTTTTTGTATCCAAATCCGGCTTTAAACTTCTCCACAACAGTATCTCGGACCTGCCTGGTGTGTTCCTTTGTCTTCATGGTTCTCTCTGCGCTTTAAACAGAACCCTGAGACTATCAAAGAGCAGGTGCATTTATACGGAGACTTGATTACACACAGGTGCATTCTATTTATCATCATCAGTCATTTAGGACAACATTGGATCATTCAAAGATCCTCACTGAACTTCTGGACTGAGTTTGTTGCACTGAAAGTAAAGGGGCCGAATGATATTGCACCCCCCAAAGTTTAAATTATCCAATCAATTTCGTTCCATTTCACGATTGTGTCCCACTTGTTGTTGATTCATGACAAAAAATTAAAATTGTATATCTTTATGTTTGAAGCCTGAAATGTGGCGAAATGTTGAAAGGTTCAAGGGGGCCAAATACTTTCGCAAGGCACTGTATATGAACATATGGAACACATGTCTGAATGTAGCAAAAGGCTAATCTTCTGTTTTAATTTATTTTTGTGTGAATTTCTTTTCCAGAGGTATCCGTCTTCCAGAGGTTATCATTCATCCAACTCCATCACCTCCAGCTTCCGTGGATTACAATAAACTACAACAAACAACAACCAATATTTTAATTTGTTTATTAATTATAAGTCATGGACAGTTAGAACACTTCACGCATGTTCTGAAGACATATGCAGCAGTAGCAGTAACAACAGCAGTAGCAGCAATAACAGCAGTGGTAGTAGTAGTAACAGTAGCAGTAGTAGTAGTAGTAGTAGTAGCAGTAGTAGTAGCAGTAGCAGCAGCAGGTGCCTGGACGTCTGCCTCTACAGTGTGGTCGTCACAACCTGTAAAAGAATAAAAATGATGATTAATTCCTTTGTGTGTCATGAAAAGTGATGAGTTTGTTTTATCCAACCACAGGATCAGTGAGAAACATGTTTCATATTTAAGTACTTAAGTACTTATATTTCTAATTGAATACATTTAAGCCATTCACTTTGACATTATCAGTATCAGTCTGTTTGGTTTCAAGAGGCAAGAAGCTAGTGCTCAAAAAGTAAGAACTTATAAATGACCTGAAATCTGGTCTATAAGCTCAAGTCCAGGGTCTTCTGTGTCCAGCTCCAAGTTCACAGACGTCCCTGTCATCAGTAAATGCACATTATCACATTTAGGCAAAATACAAATGACTTTACTACTTTACTTTGCACAAACGACGGCCATAGCAAATATATCATCGTATTAAACACATGCATTATTTACATCAAACATCACATTTTAAAAACTAATGATTACTCTAAAAACAATTGTTAAAACTGAGAAAGTCTGTTACAAAATCCTCCTCTGTTAGACTGTTAGCATAAGGGAGCTCTCAAAACGACTCCCAGCGTCGCTCCATCCTGGGCATCAGCGCAGCTCTACACCCGTTGTTAGCGTGTTAGCATTGGCTGAAGAAAAAAGTCCACAAAAAATCTTAAAATCCATTTAATCACCAAACCGAGTCTGATATGACAATAGAGGGGGATATTTCCCACCTCAAATGTTATTACAATTAACTTTTATGTCCTAATTAAAACGTAAATTCAACTTTAACCTTTACCTCATCATCGCCACTCCTCTCTCCGCTCCGTGATCCACGCGAGGGACGCTTCACGTACGACGTCACGTCTTGAAGATAGTGTGCAGCGTCCGAATCACCAACAGAATGAGTTCACTCACTATAGAGTCCCAAACTATAGAGTCCCAAACTATAGAGTCCCAAACTATACGTGAGTGAGTGGATAGGGTACAGAGTGTACGTTCGGATACAGCCCAGGAGTGGTCTCCTCCAGTTTGTCACGGATGGATGTCATTTTATTATTAAAGAAGTGAAGAAAATCGACACTGTTCAATTGTGGCAGTTTGTGAGTTTAGCGACGGTGCTAAACAAAAAATCTACTGTTGTTTTTATTTGCTTCTATTAAAGTGGATTAGTATTGAGTAATGAGAGTCAAACTTAATGTACCAACTGCATTTTTATCATATCTCTTTAAAGTTCACTCAACCATTTCCAGAATGTTTTCAAATGTTATAAATGCTCTTAATCATATATTAGTGCCTTTGGGCCTCATGTATGAAACTTGCGTACGGCCAAATCAGGGCGTAAAAAATGTGTACACAAAATATTTACACTTTCCCGCATTTATCAATCTAGACATGAGCGTACGATACGCAAAAAATATACGCCAGGTCTTAAGGTGGTGTAAATGTGTACGCTCATTTCACCCTCCATCACAACACGCCAAAACACGCAAGAAATGCAAGATTTGGAGAAAAATAAACATATTCCCTCTGACAAGATTATAGGCACACCTCTCACATTACAAATATGCAATTTTACGATGTTATGTTAGGGCTAGTTTGTTTATTAAATAACGTGCAACATGTCAAACTTAGTCTCCCACAAATGGATTGTTATATGCACCGACAATCAGTGTGTTGTGGCTTTGGTTCATGCAGGTCCAAGAAAAGACACGCGCCACTGCGCTGCGCTACATGTGGAGAGAGAGGGTACTGTGGAGAGGGTACATGTGGAGAGAGAGGGTACTGTGGAGAGGGTACATGTGGAGAGAGAGGGTGCATGTGGAGAGGGCACATGTGGAGAGAGAGGGTGCATGTGGAGAGAGAAGGTACATGTGGAGACGGTACATGTGGAGAGAGATATTACATGTGGAGAGAGAGGGTGCATGTGGAGAGAGAGGGTGCATGTGGAGAGAGAGGGTGCATGTGGAGAGGGTACATGTGGAGGGGGTACATGTGGTGAGGGTACATATGGAGAGGGTGCATGTGGAGAGGGTACATATGGTGAGGGTACATCTGGAGAGAGAGGGTACATGTGGAGGGGGTACATATGGAGAGAGAGGGTACATGTGGAGAGGGTACATGTGGAGAGGGTACATGTGGAGGGGGTACATGTGGAGGGGGTACATGTGGTGAGGGTGCATGTGGAGAGGGTGCATGTGGAGAGGGTACATGTGGAGGGGGTACATGTGGTGAGGGTGCATGTGGAGAGGGTACATGTGGAGAGAGAGGGTACATGTGGAAAAATTACATGTGTAGAGGGTACATGTGGAGAGGGTACATGTGTAGAGGGTACATGTGGAGAGGGTACATGTGGAGAGCATACATGTGGAAGAGGGTACATGTGGAGAGGGTACATGTGGAGAAGGTACATGTGGAGGGGGTACATGTGGAGAGGGTACATGTGTAGAGGGTACATATGGAGGGGGTACATGTGGAGAGCATACATGTGGAGAGGGTACATGGGGAGAGGGTACATGTGGTGAGGGTACATGTGGTGAGGGTACATGTGGAGAGAGAGGGTACATGTGGTGAGGGTACATGTGGAGAGGGTACATGTGGAGGGGGTACATGTGGAGGGGGTACATGTGGTGAGGGTGCATGTGGAGAGGGCACATGTGGAGAGGGTACATAGGGTGAGGGTGCATGTGGAGAGGGTACATGTGGAAAGATTACATGTGAAGAGGGTGCATGTGGAGAGGGTACATGTGGAGAGGGTGCATGTGGAGAGGGTACATGTGGAGAGGGTACATGTGGAGGGGGTACATGTGGAGGGGGTACATGTGGAGAGGGTACATGTAGAGAGGGTACATGTGGAGGGGGTACATGTGGTGAGGGTACATGTGGAGAGCATACATGTGGAGAGGGTACATGTGGAGAGGGTACATGTGGTGAGGGTACATGTGGAGAGCATACATGTGGTGAGGGTGCATGTGGAGAGGGTACATGTGGAGAGGGTACATGTAGAGAGCATACATGTGGAGAGGGTACATGTGGAGAGCATACATGTGGAGAGGGTACATGTGGAGAGGGTACATGTGGAGAGGGTTCATGTGGAGAGGGTACATGTGGTGAGGGTACATGTGGAGGGGGTACATAGGGTGAGGGTGCATGTGGAGAGGGTACATGTGGAGAGGGTACATGTGGAGAGCATACATGTGGAGAGGGTACATGTGGTGAGGGTGCATGTGGAGAGGGTACATGTGGAGAGGGTACATGTGGAGAGAGAGGGTACATGTGGAGAGGGTACATATGGAGGGGGTACATGTGGAGAGCATACATGTGGAGAGGGTACATGGGGAGAGGGTGCATGTGGAGAAAGAGGGTACATGTGGTAAGGGTACATGTGGTGAGGGTACATGTGGAGAGAGAGGGTACATGTGGTGAGGGTACATCTGGAGAGGGTACATGTGGAGAGGGTGCATGTGGAGGGGGTACATGTGGTGAGGGTGCATGTGGAGAGGGTACATGTGGAGAGGGTACATAGGGTGAGGGTGCATGTGGAGAGGGTACATGTGGAGAGATTACATGTGGAGAGGGTGCATGTGGAGAGGGTACATGTGGAGAGAGAGGGTACATGTGGAGAGGGTGCATGTGGAGAGGGTACATGTGGAGAGGGTACATGTGGAGGGGGTACATGTGGAGGGGGTACATGTGGAGAGGGTACATGTAGAGAGGGTGCATGTGGAGAGGGTACATGTGGAGAGGGTACATGTAGAGAGGGTACATGTGGAGAGGGTACGTGTGGAGAGGGTACATGTGGAGCGCATACATGTGGAGAGGGTACATGTGGAGAGATTACATGTGGAGAGGGTACATGTGGAGAGGGTACATGTGGAGAGATTACATGTGGAGAGGGTACATGTGGAGAGCATACATGTGGAGAGGGTACATGTGGAGAGGGTACATGTGGAGAGGGTACATGTGGAGAGCATACATGTGGAGAGGGTACATGTGGAGAGGGTACATGTGGAGAGGGTACATGTGGAGAGATTACATGTGGAGAGGGTACATGTGGAGAGCATACATGTGGAGAGGGTACATGTGGAGAGCATACATGTGGAGAGGGTACATGTGGAGAGGGTACATGTGGAGAAGGTACATGTGGAGGGGGTACATAGGGTGAGGGTACATGTGGAGAGGGTTCATGTGGAGAGGGTACATGTGGTGAGGGTGCATGTGGAGAGGGTACATGTGGAGAGGGTACATGTGGAGAGCATACATGTGGAGAGGGTACATGTGGTGAGGGTGCATGTGGAGAAGGTACATGTGGAGAGGGTACATGTGGAGAGAGAGGGTACATGTGGAGAGGGTGCATGTGGAGAGGGTACATATGGTGAGGGTACATGTGGAGAGAGAGGGTACATGTGGAGGGGGTACATGTGGAGAGGGTACATGTAGAGAGGGTACATGTGGAGAGGGTACATGTGGAGAGCATACATGTGGAGGGGGTACATGTGGTGAGGGTGCATGTGGAGAGGGTACATGTGGAGAGGGTACATGTGGAGAGCATACATGTGGAGAGGGTACATGTGGAGAGCATACATGTGGAGAGGGTACATGTGGAGAGCATACATGTGGAAGAGGGTACATGTGGAGAGGGTACATGTGGAGAAGGTACATGTGGAGGGATTACATGTGGAGAGGGTACATGTGGAGAGGGTAGATGTGGAGAGGGTTCATGTGGAGAGGGTTCATGTGGAGAGGGTACATGTGGGGAGGGTACATGTGGAGAGGGTACATGTGGAGAGGGTTCATGTGGAGAGGGTTCATGTGGAGAGGGTACATGTGGAGAGCATACATGTGGAGAGGGTACATGTGGAGAGGGTACATGTGGAGAGGGTTCATGTGGAGAGGGTACATGTGGAGAGCATACATGTGGATAGGGTACATGTGGAGAGGGTACATGTGGAGAGGGTTCATGTGGAGAGGGTACATGTGGAGAGCATACATGTGGAGAGGGTACATGTGGAGAGGGTACATGTTGAGGGGGTACATAGGGTGAGGGTGCATGTGGAGAGGGTACATGTGGAGAGGGTACATGTGGAGAGGGTACATGTGGAGGGGGTACATGTGGTGAGGGTGCATGTGGAGAGGGTACATGTGGAGAGGGTACATGTGGAGAGGGTACATGTAGAGAGGGTACATGTGGAGAGGGTACATGTGGAGAGATTACATGTGGAGAGGGTACATGTGGAGAGGGTACATGTGGAGAGATTACATGTGGAGAGGGTACATGTGGAGAGATTACATGTGGAGAGGGTACATGTGGAGAGGGTACATGTGGAGAGGGTACATGTGGAGAGGGTACATGTAGAGAGGGTACGTGTGGAGAGGGTACATGTGGAGAGGGTACATGTGGAGAGGGTACATGTAGAGAGGGTACATGTGGAGAGGGTACATGTGGAGAGGGTACATGTAGAGAGGGTACATGTGGAGAGCATACATGTGGAGAGGGTACATGTAGAGAGGGTACATGTGGAGAGGGTACATGTGGAGAGCATACATGTGGAGAGGGTACATGTGGTGAGGGTGCATGTGGAAAGGGTACATGTGGAGAGGGTACATGTGGAGAGGGTACATGTAGAGAGGGTACATGTGGAGAGGGTACATGTGGAGAGGGTTCATGTGGAGAGGGTTCATGTGGAGAGGGTACATGTGGAGAGCATACATGTGGAGAGGGTACATGTGGAGAGGGTACATGTGGAGAGGGTTCATGTGGAGAGGGTACATGTGGAGAGCATACATGTGGAGAGGGTACATGTGGAGAGGGTACATGTGGAGAGCATACATGTGGAGAGGGTACATGTGGAGAGGGTACATGTTGAGGGGGTACATAGGGTGAGGGTGCATGTGGAGAGGGTACATGTGGAGAGGGTACATGTGGAGGGGGTACATGTGGTGAGGGTGCATGTGGAGAGGGTACATGTGGAGAGGGTACATTTGGAGAGGGTACATGTAGAGAGGGTACATGTGGAGAGGGTACATGTGGAGAGGGTACATGGGGAGAGCCTACATGTGGAGAGCATACATGTGGAGAGGGTACATGTGGAGAGATTACATGTGGAGAGGGTACATGTGGAGAGATTACATGTGGGAGGGTACATGTGGAGAGGGTACATGTGGAGAGGGTACATGTGGAGAGGGTACATGTAGAGAGGGTACATGTGGAGAGGGTACATGTGGAGAGGGTACATGTAGAGAGGGTACATGTGGAGAGGGTACATGTAGAGAGGGTACATGTGGAGAGCATACATGTGGAGAGGGTACATGTAGAGAGGGTACATGTGGAGAGGGTACATGTGGAGAGCATACATGTGGAGAGGGTACATGTGGTGAGGGTGCATGTGGAGAGGGTACATGTGGAGAGGGTACATGTGGAGGGGGTACATGTGGTGAGGGTGCATGTGGAGAGGGTACATGTGGAGAGGGTACATGTGGAGAGGGTACATGTAGAGAGGGTACATGTGGAGAGGGTACATGTGGAGAGGGTACATGTGGAGAGCCTACATGTGGAGAGCATACATGTGGACAGGGTACATGTGGAGAGGGTACATGTGGAGAGGGTACATGTGGAGAGATTACATGTGGAGAGGGTACATGTGGAGAGCATACATGTGGAGAGGGTACATGTGGAGAGGGTACATGTGGAGAGCATACATGTGGAGAGGGTACATGTGGAGAGGGTACATGTGGAGAGGGTACATGTGGAGAGGGTTCATGTGGAGAGATTACATGTGGAGAGGGTACATGTGGAGAGGGTACATGTGGAGAGGGTTCATGTGGAGAGGGTTCATGTGGAGAGGGTACATGTGGAGAGGGTACATGTGGTGAGGGTGCATGTGGAGAGGGTACATGTGGAGAGGGTACATGTGGAGAGCATACATGTGGAGAGGGTACATGTGGTGAGGGTGCATGTGGAGAGGGTACATGTGGAGAGGGTACATGTGGAGGGGGTACATGTGGTGAGGGTGCATGTGGAGAGGGTACATGTGGAGAGGGTACATGTGGAGAGGGTACATGTAGAGAGGGTACATGTGGAGAGGGTACATGTGGAGAGCCTACATGTGGAGAGCATACATGTGGACAGGGTACATGTGGAGAGGGTACATGTGGAGAGGGTACATGTGGAGAGATTACATGTGGAGAGGGTACATGTGGAGAGCATACATGTGGAGAGGGTACATGTGGAGAGCATACATGTGGAGAGGGTACATGTGGAGAGGGTACATGTGGAGAGGGTACATGTGGAGAGGGTTCATGTGGAGAGATTACATGTGGAGAGGGTACATGTGGAGAGGGTACATGTGGAGAGGGTTCATGTGGAGAGGGTTCATGTGGAGAGGGTACATGTAGAGAGGGTACATGTGGTGAGGGTGCATGTGGAGAGGGTACATGTGGAGAGGGTACATGTGGAGAGGGTACATGTGGAGAGATTACATGTGGAGAGGGTACATGTGGAGAGCATACATGTGGAGAGGGTACATGTGGAGAGGGTACATGTGGAGAGCATACATGTGGAGAGGGTACATGTGGAGAGGGTACATGTGGAGAGGATTCATGTGGAGAGGGTTCATGTGGAGAGATTACATGTGGAGAGGGTACATGTGGAGAGGGTTCATGTGGAGAGTGTTCATGTGGAGAGGGTACATGTGGAGAGGGTACATGTGGAGAGCCTACATGTGGAGAGGGTACGTGTGGAGAGATTACATGTGGAGCGATTACATATGGAGAGGGTACATGTGGAGAGGGTACATGTGGAGAGATTACATGTGGAGAGATTACATGTGGAGAGGGTGCATGTGGAGAGATTACATGTGGAGAGATTACATGTGGAGAGGGTGCATGTGGAGAGATTACATGTGGAGAGATTACATGTGGAGAGATTACATGTGGAGTGGGTACTTGTAGAGAGGGTACATGTGGAGAGGGTACATGTGGAGAGGGTACATGTGGAGAGCCTACATGTGGAGAGCATACATGTGGACAGGGTACATGTGGAGAGGGTACATGTGGAGAGGGTACATGTGGAGAGATTACATGTGGAGAGGGTACATGTGGAGAGCATACATGTGGAGAGGGTACATGTGGAGAGGGTACATGTGGAGAGCATACATGTGGAGAGGGTACATGTGGAGAGGGTACATGTGGAGAGGATTCATGTGGAGAGGGTTCATGTGGAGAGATTACATGTGGAGAGGGTACATGTGGAGAGGGTACATGTGGAGAGGGTTCATGTGGAGAGTGTTCATGTGGAGAGGGTACATGTGGAGAGGGTACATGTGGAGAGCCTACATGTGGAGAGGGTACGTGTGGAGGATTACATGTGGAGCGATTACATATGGAGAGGGTACATGTGGAGAGGGTACATGTGGAGAGATTACATGTGGAGAGGGTGCATGTGGAGAGATTACATGTGGAGAGATTACATGTGGAGAGGGTGCATGTGGAGAGATTACATGTGGAGAGATTACATGTGGAGTGGGTACTTGTGGAGACGGTACATGTGGAGAGCATACATGTGGAGAGGGTACATGTGGAGAGCATACATGTGGAGAGGGTACATGTGGAGAGGGTACATGTGGAGAGGGTACATGTGGAGAGCATACATGTGGAGAGGGTACATGTGGAGAGCATACATGTGGAGAGATTACATGTGGAGAGGGTACATGTGGAGAGGGTACATGTGGACAGGGTACATGTGGAGAGGGAGGGTACATGTGGAGAGAGAGGGTACATGTGGAGAGGGTACATGTGGAGAGGGTACATGTGGAGAGAGAGGGTACATGTGGAGAGAGCGGGTACATGTGGAGAGGGTACATGTGGAGAGAGAGGGTACATGTGGAGAGAGCGGGTACATGTGGAGAGGGTACACATCTCTGGACAAGAGCATGTGCACTAACAGATCCGTGCCCCTCAGTTGAATGTAAAGTACGTGTTCACTAATGTCAGTCTTCAGTTCATTCATTTAAGCAGTAGTTTAACTGTTTAAATGACTCAACCCTGACCAATGTCTGACTGTGTGGAAATGGTAATGTGATGCAAAAGTTTGAAAAACTTTTTTGCTTCTTTGCTTCTTTGACTTAAACAGAATTCCAGAGAACAAATATTCAACAAATGAATGCGAGGCCCTATAAAACAGTAGGCATAGTTTAAATTAAATGTTTTTTAGTGAATAGCAAACACACAAATCAGACCACACTACTCTTCACTTTCCTCACTGTGTTGGAGTGAAGCCTTTTATCGGTAATGTTAAGTAATGTTTATTTATATACCGCCTTTCACAGACCAGAGTCACAAAGCGGTTTACAATTGTTATTTTTGGGCATTAGTCTCTCACTCCACACAGAGATGGGAGCGGGGTCAGTACAGGAGGCGCATGCCAGACCTGTTGTTCATGTTTTTAGTGGTAGGGGAAACCGGAGTACCTGGAGGAAACCTACACAGACACGTGGAGAACATGTAAACTCCACTCAGAAAGGCCCTGGTCCGACCGGGATTCGAACCTTCTTGCTGAGAGGCGAGAGTGCTTACCACTCAGCCACCGTGCCGCCCGACAGTATATGTCATGGCCAATAGCTCTAACAGAATAGCAGAGCTACAGTAGATATTTGTTCTACTTGAGGCACTGTTTCTCTCATCAAGGCAGCATCAGGAAAGACCCTCTGTATAAAATAATCTGATTCAGACCACACCAAGAAGTCACAGTGTTTTCGCTCCATCAGAAACATTTGAGCTTGCACCTGGTAAAGGTTTGCACGATCTTGGCAAAGAGAAATGAAGCTGAATGTGCAGGTTCAGACTGAAAGACCGAGTGCCTGCCAGCCTCGAGCCTCAGCCAATCACACAGCTCTGCCAGCCTCGAGCCTCAGCCAATCACACAGCTCTGCCAGCCTCGAGCCTCAGCCAATCACACAGCTCTGCCAGCCTCGAGCCTCAGCCAATCACACAGCTCTGACAGCCTCGAGCCTCAGCCAATCACACAGCCAGGCCAGCCTCCTGCCAACCCTCTCAGAGCAAAGCGGGCAGTTTAAAAGGCAGCCACTTCCTGACAAACAACGCTTCCTGAGGCTCTTAAACACCCACCACCTCCCCAGCACCCCCTCTGGCTCTTGGCTCCCGCTCTGGCTCCCGCTCTAGGCTCCCACTCCGGCTCCTGCTCCGCCTACGCCCCATTCACACCATACTCTAGCCACCACCAGTGATTGACCCCGGGGGATCTGAGATCATCTTCAGCTGCAATCGATCTCATTGCTGCAAGTGTCACTGCCGGGGTCAACGCGCCAAACAAATAAATAATTTTATTGTATTAATCGTGTCTTTGGTCTCTTCAGATTGAACAACAACCATTTGTGTTTCTCATCTGTCTGTGGCACTGAGGACTCCAGTATTAGCACTGTGTGGGCATTTTATCTCTAACACACCATCGCCGCAGCAGCTACAGGACAAGGCATCTGGAGATGTTCCGAGGTAGAACCAGCTGGGCTGGATGTGCAGACCGGAGTCACAGACTTTCACAGACTTTCTGGTCCTGATGCTGTGATGAGGCCAAGGCTTCATATTTCTGCCTTGCTGTTTTTTCTTGTTGACATCCCCGTCTGGAAGATAGACCATACTTTATATTAATTTCAGTTGCATATTGAGCAGAGTGAGAGCATGTATTACAGACACATATATAGATTAAAAATATATCATTTAAACAATACATTGAAAACAAAGTTAAATTATATTTGTATCTGAAATTGACATAATTACAACCAAAATCTTAATATTGAACTTCAGCAGAGCAAGAAACAAAGACTCTTTACTTAAAGCTAAAGTATCTAACATAAAAAATACAAAAATAACTAATACAATCCATGAAACTTGTTCCTAAACCCTCTTCTGAAAAACTGTTCTGCCTTTTAACAAGCATACTGTATGGATTTGTGGTCTCTGTTCTTGCTGCTGACAGATCTTGAGGCTCTCTACAGCCCTCATGTTGTCGTGTCAGAAGCAGACGGCTGACGGTGATGAGGGTTGCACACCTCTGTTAGGGGCTGAGGCTTCACCATAACACTGTGGGTTAAAACTGTTCACACAACTTTGGTAACACACTCAGGAGATCCAGATCTTTGTAGAGTTCTGCTGTGGCATCTTCGGACACACTCGCTGTATCTTTCTCTTTTCTCTTTTTAGATTATCCTGCTTGCTTTTTTGACGGATTTGTGATGTCGATTCCTAACCCTTCTTCATAAAGTGCTTTTCCTGCTTTCACTTTAAGATGCCCTCATTGTCTTGGTCCATCAGTGCAACTTCGATCTTGAAGATATTTTACAGCAGACTGAAGGGCATAGAGCAGGGCCGTGATGAGTGTGGCTCTACATGTGCAGTGGCCCCCAACACTGGACCTTCTGTAGAGACACGCAGGGCTTTAGAGGACTGATATAAACATAACACCAAAGTACAAAATAACATAAAACCCACATCGTGACAAGAGGAAAGGACAACAAACAACACAGAGACACACAACACAGAGGAATGGACAACAAACAACACAGAGACACACAACACAGAGGAATGGACAACACACACTGTGACTGTTACTTTAGGAAAAATCTTCTGAAACTGTCAGATCTGTTGCTGTTTCAATGGAACAGTTGTGCATCTCTTTGTAAAGCTGTATCAATCCATGTGTGTGTGTGTGTCTGTGTCTGTGTGTGTGTCTGTGTGTGTTTGTGTGTGTGTGTGTGTGTCTGTGTCTGTGTGTGTGTCTGTGTGTGTCTGTATGTGTCTGTGTGTGTGTGCGTGTGTGTGTGTCTGTGTGTGTGTGTGTGTGTGTGTGTGTCTGTGTGTGTGTGTGTGTGTGTGTGTGTGTCTGTATGTTTGTGTGTTTGTGTGTGTGTGTGTGTGTGAGTTTGTGTGTGTGTATGCATGTGTGTGTGTGTGTGTGTGTATATATGCGCGTGTGTGTGTGTATAAATGCGTGTGTGTGTGTGTGTATATATGCGCGTGTGTGTGCGTGTGTGTGTGTCTGTGAGTCTGTGTGTGTGAGTTTGTGTGTGTGTATGCGTGTGTGTGTTCTGGATGTTATGCTCGTCCTGGGAGCCCTCAGTCTCTCTGGCTCCGCTGGTCTCTTCCCGGGGCCCCTCTGGGAACCATCTCTGTATAACACAGTGTTCCAAACAGGGGGGAGCGGACCGGCTGCGGTTCAGGACAATGGATTTGGAAACATGTAAAGATGGAGGACCATGGGGCACACCAGAGAGGTCAGAGGTCAAAGAGAAGGACCATGGAACACACCAGAGAGGTCACGGGTCAAAGAGGAGGACCATGGGGCACACCAGAGAGGTGAAGAAGATGACATAGTCTGGGATCGCGTCTTTAATTCTGACAGAAGACATGTTTTATTGTCGATGGTAGAGACAGCACAAACAACACGAACAACAGAATGCAAGTGTATTATACAGAGTGGAGGCATGGAGACCTCCAATCAGCAGCTGCCACAGTGCCAGCAGAGATAGTCAAAACATGAAGTGGAAAAGTACAGGCTTCTGCACATTGATAGAATGATGAGTTTAACCTTAACAAAAGTTGCTTAAAAGTGTTATGAAATCTCACAGAGGTCAGAGGACAAAGAAGGAGGACCATGGAGCACACCAGAGAGGTCAGGGGTCAAAGAGGAGGACCATGGAGCACACCAGAGAGGTCAGAGGTCAAAGAAGAGGACCATGGAGCACAAAGGAGAGTTCAAGGGTCAAAGAAGAGGACCATGGAGTACACCAGAGAGTTCAGAGGTCAAAGAAGGAGGACCATGGGTCACACCAGAGAGGTCAAAAAGGAGGACCATGGAGCCCACTTGGGAACGACTTGGGGTCGCCCCGGATGAGCTGGAGGAAGTGTGTGTGGATGAAGCGGAAAAAAATGGATGGATGGAAAAGTGTGTGTGTATAAAAAACTAAAAACCAAATACAAATAAATATTGAATATTACTAATAATAAACTGAAGAGGTGAGGGAAAAATGGAATACAAAACAAAAAATTAAAGCCTACGTACACACGCACGCACACACACACACGCGCATACACACACACACGCATACACACACACACACACACGCATACACACACACACACACACACATACACACACACGCACACACACACACGCATACACACACGCACACACACACACGCGCATACACACACGCACGCACACGCGCATACACACACACGCACACACACACACGCATACACACACACACACGCACGCACACACACACACAGTCATGGTCCCCACACTGCACCTGTACAAGCAAATACAGTGGCTCATATCTGTCTCTGAGCAGAAAAATGACATTCACAAAAAGTCACAGAGACATAAGCTCCTGTTGAAGCCGTCGTTGAAGCGCCGTCTCCGGTGTTTGAAGCCGAGAGCGCGAGCCGAGGCGGGGCCGGTCTGTGGAGCAGCGTTTAACCCCTGCTCTCCCCTCACAGATCCGACTGATACCTCTGTCTCACATCTCCGTCTCCTCGGCCTCAGAAGTCTGAGGCTGTGAAGTGAGGCTCCGAGCGCGCCTCAAACGGCCCCCGACAGACGCCGCTAAACGCCTCTGTGATCGTATCGCTGTCACCTTCATTTGGGAAAGTTACGGAAACAGGAAATAGATCAGACGCGGCGGATTCTGAGATGGACCGAACCTGTGTTATTTTTAAGGTGGATAGAAAGAGCTTTGTCTGTTACACATCATTTACAGCTGCATGAAAACACAGACATTGTATTTATTCATTAATGTCCCATAAGGCCAGTAATGACAATACTTCATCACTAGGGCCTTTATCCCCACCACTGTCAGACTGTACAATAAGTCACTTTAAGTCACTAGGACTGAAAAAACTTGCACTGCTATTGCCACTCCTTCTTTTATTGCCACTTTTTTGTATTGTACATAATTATATCCTGCACAGACTATATTTTTAACCTTTAACAAGTTTGCTAGAGTTAATAAAATGTTCCAAATACTGTCAAAAAAAAAATAAAGAAGAATCACAAAAAACATGTGAAGAAACAAAGAAAGAAAAGTGAAAGCTCACACAAGTGTAGACCACAGGGTTCAGAGGATCATGTCTCTTGATCTGGTTTGAAAAGGGACAAAGATAACCTGGTCTTACCATGTGTAAACTCTGGTCCATGATCATCTCCTACATGTACGTCTGGTCTTACCATGTGTAAACTCTGGTCCATGGTCATTTCCTACATGTACGTCTGGTCTTACCATGTGTAAACTCTGGTCCATGATCATTTCCTACATGTACGTCTGGTCTTACCATGTGTAAACTCTGGTCCATGATCATTTAAGGGTAAGCAGTACTGCAGGGCTGCTCTGTGCACCTTTTTAGTAAACTTTTAACAACTTTTTAGCGCGTTTTTATTGTTCAGTTTTTTAATATATCTGAGTGTTTTATGTTATTAATTCAGTGGTTTCAGCAAATAGCGCTTAGTCCCGACTGAAACCCACTAGTAGCACAGAGGCTAACACAAGCTAACGAGGACATGGAAAGTGACAATGAAATTGGCTCAAACATGCACAATATTAGTCGCCTCACCTTGGAGCTCCGTGAGAGCGACCGTGCCACCATTGCAGAACTACGAAAAGAAGTCCTTCGTCTCACCGCAGAGTTGAATGAGAAACAATCTCTAGTGTCCAAACTTTTTGAAGTCGCTGGTGGGCAGCATTCACGGCTTATGTCACTGAGTGCTGCATATTGTGACACTGTCGTGTGGGAGAGATCCGTCAGCTCCGGACCCTCCTGTTCTACACCTAAGCGCCCGGTTCCGAACAACGAGCCCGCGGATTCCGAGGAGCCATCCTGCGCCGTGGCCCATGTCCTGAGTCTGGCAAACCGCTATGCAGCCCTCTCCACTGACATCCCGGCCCCCTCAGCAGAATCCCTGGACACTGCAGCGTACTCTACTGCTCGAGGATCCAAGTCCACTACGAGGAAAACGCTCCTAAAGGAAGCAGTCCTCAGGCGAAAGAGCGGTCCACCAGCCATGTTGGCCTGTTCCCCTTCTTTGACCCCAGTGCAGCAGCCTCAGACTGGGGTAGCGAGCCATCATCACCACCGCTCACCTCCACCGGGTCAGCAGCAGCGCCCAGAGCCAGCCCCTCTCACCGCTCCAGCGTCCCCGAGCACACAGCGTGGGTCGCCTGTAGCTGAGAGTCAGCACCCCCGCTCCTCCTCTCCATGTGTTCAGCGGCGCTCAGGCTCCGGTCCTGCTTCGGGTGAACCCGCTGGTTCCGTCCACCGAGCTCCTTCTCCGAGGCCGCGTCCACGTCCACTCTTCGCCCCGACCACTCTGATTATTGGAGATTCCATCGTGAGACACGTCCGCTTCTTTAACGCGGTCACTCGCTGTATTCCCGGAGCTACTGTCCCAGACCTGCTCATCCGTCTCCCTCCTCTGCTTCAGTCCCTGCCTGATACCGTTTCCAAGGTAGTCGTGCATGTGGGAATTAACGACATGAAACTTCAGCAGTCAGAAGTCACTAAGAAACATTTTATGGATCTGTTCCACCTCCTTCAATCCACGGGATTATCTGTTTTTATCTCTGGTCCAATCCCGACTGTAAACAGAGGTGACTGCCTCTACAGTCGTGTTGTGGCGCTGCATATGTGGATCCAGGCTACATGCAGCTCTTTTAACTTTGTCTTTGTGAATAACTTTGCCCTTTTCTGGAAACGTAACGAAGCCTATCGTCCAGACGGATTACACCCAAACAGATACGGTAGCAGCCTGTTGATGGGCTTCATGCGTTACGTTGTTCAGCGTTCCCCGAGGGGGGCGTGACTGTTTACATCTGAGCCCCCTCGGACCCCACCGCACTCCCCCGCCTCCTGCTCACCAGCACCGGGTGAGTACAACGGTGCAAACACTGCTCCCTGTCCGTCTGGCAGTGCATTACCAGTCCAAACACTGAACTGTGCTGACTCCCTTCTGATTCTGGGAGCTAAAGAACAACAAGGGTTTTCACATTTTAGTCCAATTGAGACTGTGTGTGTTCCTCGCACCAGCTCAAAAATGTTTTTAAATTCTAAAAACCGAAATCAAAACAGGACAGCAGTTAGACGGTCCAACTCTGCAAATCTAATTTCTGTTCCCTGTAGAAATCAATCAACCACATTAATCGACTCTGACGTTATTTTTAAACTTGCTATGCTTAATGTCAGATCTCTATGTAACAAATCATTTTTAATTAATAATTTTATCACTTCTTATGATCTTGATTTTATGCTTATGGCTGAAACATGGCTGGACCAAAATACAGGAAATGCAGTTCTAATAGAAGCAACACCACCCAATTTTAAATTCGAATCCGAAGTACGAGAAAACAAAAGGGGGGGAGGCATAGCTGCAGTTTTTAGAGAGCACTTTGTCTCCCATAGAATGCCCCTTGGAAATTTTTCATCGTTTGAGTATATTTCTTTTAAAATGGAACAAAAGCAATCTTCTACTCTTTTCATTGTCCTGTACAGGCCACCACAGTCATGTTGCGATTTTATTGACCATTTTACTGAACTACTTTCATTCGTGTGCACAGATTTTGATAGTTTAGTTATTACAGGTGATTTTAATGTACATGTTGATAATGTTGATGACAGAAATGCAAAGGAGCTGGCTTCTGTACTTGAGACCTTTGGTTTCATTCAGCACGTGAGTGGCCCCACCCACAGCAGGGGGCACACTCTTGACCTGCTAATTACAAAGGGGGTTAATGTATCAAATGTTAATGTAGTTGATGTTGCTTTGTCAGATCATTTCTGTGTATTTTTTGACATGTGTTTTGCTAGCAAACCACCAGCTGAATTTACAATTGTTAGAAGAAGACACATACATGAAAACACAGGTGAACTGTTCATGGGAATGCTAAATTTTGAGAAAACTCCATGCTCTACTGTTGATGAATTGTATAACTCTGTCACCACCAGTGTTCTGACTGTTCTGGACGCCATTGCTCCTGTGACGGTTAAAATAGTTACCGGTAAGAAAAAGGCCCCATGGACTAAGGCAGACTCGGTCAGGGCACAGAAGCAAGAGTGCCGGAGGGCCGAACGGAAGTGGCGAAAGTCCAATTTCCAGGGCGATTATGAAATCTTTAAAGATGAGTTGGGTGAATTTAACCGGGTTCTACGAAGAACAAGAGAAATGTATTTTTCTGACATTATTGGAGGTTGCAGTAACAATTTTCGTGTTATGTTTTCAACAGTTGGTAGATTAACGAACCCCCCTGTAAAGTTGCCCCTAGAATTTTCCTCTAAATCTAGGTGTAATGAGTTCGCACAGTTTTTCGATGACAAAGTACAAGGAATCAAAAACACTATCACCTCCACAGCACGTATAACAATGCAACAGCCAGAGAAGCTTTTTGAGCTAACTCACTTTGCACCTGTGGATACTGAAACTGTCAAAAAGATAATCATGAGTCTGAGCTCCTCCACATGTAGCCTGGATATATTGCCCTCTAAATTTCTGAAGTCCGTCCTGAGCAGTTTGTTACCTTCACTGACACAAATAGTAAACATGTCTCTGTCGTCAGGAACATTTCCTATGGCCCTAAAAACAGCAGTCATAAGACCTCTCCTAAAAAAGAGCAGTCTGGATCCTGCGGGACTTCAAAATTATCGCCCCATATCGAATCTGCCATTCATTGGAAAAATTCTTGAAAAAGTGGCCTCCCAACAACTTACTGAATTTTTAACAATGAATAATTCTTTTGATATGTTCCAGTCTGGGTTTAGACCCCACCACAGCACTGAGACCGCTCTAGTGAAGGTAACAAACGACATTCGAAGCTCCAATGTGAGGCGACTAATGTCGTTCGTGGTCATTGCAGTGTCACTTTCCATGTCTGTGGTGCGCTCGTGGTAGCCTCCGAGCTAGCTATCTTAGTGCCGCGTTCGACACTGTCGACCATGAGATCCTCATGCAGAGACTGGAGGACTGGGTTGGTGTCACTGGCACAGCCCTAGACTGGTTTAGGTCTTACCTGGAGGATAGGAAGTACTTTGTGGAGATTGGAGACTGCGTCTCAGATCATGTGGCCCTGACCTGTGGAGTACCACAGGGGTCGATCCTGGGACCTCTCCTATTTAATCTCTACATGCTGCCGTTAGGTCAGTTAATACAAAGAAACAAAGTGTCCTACCACAATTACGCCGACGACACTCAGATCTATGTCTCACTGACTGCAGGAGAACATGGACCACTGGATTTGCTCCTTCACTGTATCCAACAGATCAGTGACTGGATGAAAAATAATTTCCTCCAGCTAAATGCAGACAAAACCGAAATCATTGTCCTTGGTCCCCAGAAACAAAGAGAGGGCGTCATCTGTCAACTTCAGTCTCTCTCCCTACTTCCTTCAGACAAGGTCAGAAATTTGGGGGTAATACTGGACTCAGACCTAAATTTCAATAGCCACATAAAATCAATAACATCAACAGCTTTTTACCATCTGAAGAACATTGCCAAAGTCAGAAATATAGTG